AAGGAGACCACCGAGGGAGGCCCCTTCCTCACACACACCTACTCAGTTCCTGACCTCTGCAGAGCTCCGGGCCCCGCCCGATGCCTCTGCGCCCCCTCTCCCGACGCCCTCACCTCGCCTTCCGTCACCGCAGTCTGGGCTGAGCGCCCCCTCCCGCTCCCAGCCCCCCACCCCCACCCCGCCTACTGCTCCCGACCAGCCTGCGCCTCCTCCAAACCCTCTTCCTCGTCCGGTCACCCCACCACCACCACCGTTGTGGCTGGAAGCCCCTCACCGGCCTAGGAAGAGTGCGCTAAGCGCAACCAGCAGCAAGACCAACAGCGCGGAGAGAAGTAGAGGCATTTAGGTCCGGGTCCGGCCCGACCTGGCCCCGACCCCCGCCATGCCGGGCCCCGACGCCGGAACCGCACAGTGCCGCGGCGGGCCTCGGCCGCGCACGCGCACGCAGGGCGAGGAAGCCTTGGTGCGCGCGCGCACCCCCGCCCCGGCCGCTCGCCGACCAGCCGGATGTCTCCCTCCGCGCCCCGCCCCGCGCACGCAAGCACCGAGGGCCGACCCGCGGCTTGCGCGGAGTGGAGGCGTGGCTCCGGAGAGGGTGGGCGGGGCGGACCGCGGACGCGCTGGCTTCAGCGCCGCGCCCAGGGCTCAACCTGAGCGGCCCACAGTGGACCTCGCTCAGGGGTGGGCAGAGGTCGGAGGTCGGCCAGTGACCTGGGTAGCACGTTTCCGCCTCGTGTAGTTAAGGCAGTTAAGAGCCCGCCTGGCTTCTTAGAACCTGTCGGGGAAGCTGGCTAAAGTTATGTGTCCCTAGGTCAGACGTGATCCTGTCTGCAAAAAATTGAAGAGGAAACCAAGAGGTAATTGACGACAGACCTCAGACATCACCTCATCCCACGGGGAAACGAATGGAGGAATCTACTTCATTCACTGTCTGAATGCTTTTCTAGCCACGTTAGTTTTAACACGCTGCTCGCAAGGAGCCATTCTGTACAATTTAGTTTTAGGTTTGTGCGATGATCACCAAGAATTGGACCTGGAGCAGGGTGGAATATAGCAGAAGTAGTGAATATTGTTCTGTGCTTCACGAAATAGCTGGGGAGCAATTTTAATTACGTGAAATAGAGAATTCAAGGTCAAATCATGTCTGAATTTTGTTTTCTTCGTTGTAAAATGAAGGAAGTAGATAAGGTCTGTTCTGATTATTCTCATGAGTCAGTGTCTGAATACTGGCTCACTAATACAGTACAAGATAAAGAAATCCCGATAGTTCCCAGGTATTATGGAGTATTTGTGTTCTTGGCTCTCGGGTCCTAACCTCCATACAGTCCTTCGGGGATTTACTCGGAATTTCTCTTTTGGTCTCTTTAGATAACAACTTCAGGGCCTAAAAGATGACTCAACAGATAAAAACACTTGCTGGCAGGCCTGAGGACTTGAGTTCCATCCGCAAAACCCACGTGATGGAAAGAAGGCAATAACTCCCTCAAGTCACCCTCTGACCTCCACACACCTGCACCCTTCCGCTCAAGAGTGGTCAAGGCTCAGGTATGCTCCAAGAACTCTGCCCAAGACACGGAGGGGTGCATCACAACACATCTTCCTACTCGATTCATCTTTTGGGGGTCTCTGCAAACCCCAGAGCCAGCAGAGTAGCAACAATCCAAATGAGACAAGAAAAATCCAGTTCAACGTGACTCAGGAACTGGTGTTGGTACACACTTCTAGAGTCTGGAGTCTGGCACTGGACAGTTTATTTTAGGCATATTTAAGCACAGCATGATTTTGGAAGGAAGTTTTCTGATGGTAATTAACTCAATCCTGTGTGTGCAATTAAACTTAAAACATGTTTACATTGAAACTCGTAAGTACAGACGGCCTCTTTAAGATGCATTCTCTTCACTGGGATGGTGTTCAATATAAGGGTGTAGGAAGAATGATGAAAGTTAACATAAAATTGTGGGAGTCCATAGTGGCCTGGCCCTACAGGTAGCACAGAGCTCACTAGGCTATTGTAAAGGACATGGGATGGGTTCTGTTGAGGTCTATCTAGGGAAGAAAGGTTCACGTGGCCTACAGATAGCACAGATCACCAGGCTTTTAACGACTTCCCAGATTTCTGGGTGGAAAACAGGTGTATGTTCCCTCTGCTAAGGAGACAACGCTGCCTGTTTAAACATTCAGGTTTCCCTAGTGCTTATCTCTGAGCACAAGGACCTGTGCCCTCTACACAACTATTCAAGACGTTCATTCAGCTAAAATAGCTATTGATTTTGTCTTCTCCCACAAGTGTTTACTTCTACCCAATTTGCCACCTGAAATGTTGTCATTACTTTTTTTTTAACTTTTTTTTTTTTTTTTTTTTTTTTTCCGAGACAGGGTTTCTCTGTAGCTTTGGGGCCAGTCCTGGAACTAGCTCTTGTAGACCAGGCTGGCCTCAAACTCACAGAGATCCGCCTACCTCTGCCTCCCGAATGCTGGGATTTAAAATGTGTGCCACCACCAACAACACCGCCCGGCCTTTTTTTTTTAAACTTTTTAAGATAAGGTCTCAACTCAATATGAAGCCCTGGCTGGCCAAGAACTTGATATGTAAACCAGACTGACTTCAGACTTGTAGTGATCCTCCTCCCACTGCCTCCTGAGTGCTGGAATTACAGGTGCATACCACCATGACCCCTTTATTTATTTATTTTTAAATATTTATTTATTTATTATGTATACAATATTCTGTGTGTATGCCTGCAGGCCAGAAGAGGGCACCAGACCTCATTACAGATGGTTGTGAGCCACCATGTGGTTGCTGGGAATTGAACTCAGGACCTTTGGAAGACGAGGCAGTGCTCTTAACCACTGAGCCATCTCTCCAGCCAGACCCCTTTATTTTTAAGACAAGGTTGCTCTATGCAGCTCAAAGTGGCCTGGAACTCATAATCCTCCAGTCTCAGCCACCTAAGTACTAGGGTTACCTATGAAATAGCTGATCAATTTCACCTACCAAAATGTCACCCCAAGAATTTAAGATATTAATAAAGGAAACTTTTTAAAAAAAATATTTTATTTATTTATTATGTATACAACATTCTGCCTCCATGTATGCCTGCAGGCTAGAAGAGGGCACCGGATCTCATTACAGATGGTTGTGAGCCACCATGTGGTTGCTGGGAATTGAACTCAGGTCCTCTGGAAGAACAGTCTGTGCTCTTAACTGCTGAGCCATCTCTCCAGCCCTGGAAACTTTCTCTAATAATAGCCAGAGCGCCAGACTTGAACAATAATTCTTTTTTTCTTTTTGGTTTTTTGAAACAGGGTTTCTCTATGTAACTATCGTGGCTGTCCTGGAACTTGCTTTGTAGAGCAGGGTGGCCTCGAACTCACAGAAATCTGCCTGCCTCTGCCTCCCAAGTGATGGGATTAATACTGGGATTAAAAGCGTGCGTCATCACTGCCCAGCAAAACTAAGTAAATCTGGGGGCTGGAGAGATGGCTCAGCGTGCTCTTCTAAAGGACCCGAGTTCGATTCCCAGCAACCACATGGTGGCTCACAACCATCTGTAATGAGGTCTGGTGTCCTCTTCTAGCCTGCAGGCATATATGTAAACAGAATATTGTATCCATAATAAATAAATATTTTTTCAAAAACTAAATAAATCTTTAAAACACAGATTGAGTATCACATGTACCACGGTTTTCTAGGTTTCCACTGATCAAGTTTTGCATAGGCTTTGTATCCATAGGAAACTCTCAGACATGATTCACATATGGCAACAAAAGGTATCTCTAACACAAAGGATGGATTAAGGCTGGGTGCTACTCCAGAGCTAGGCGAGGTCTGGTCAGGCCAGCACTACATTCTGCAACAGTTCTCTGTGTAGCACTGGCTGTCCTGGGACACACTCTGTAGACCAGGCTGCCTCAAACTCACCTGCCTCTCTGCCTTCCAAGTGCTGGGATTAAAGGCGTGCACTATCACACACCTGGCAAATTTATCATTTTTACTTTCTCCTTCATGAAGAGATAATCAAATAATCAAAGTGACAAAAATAGAGTAGAGCAAGGAGAGCAGGGGAAGAAATGTAATTCTAATTCTTGGTTTGTGAGAACTACAACTTCTTTGTAAGAGAAATTTCTTATTTTTTAATTATTTATTTATTATGTATAAAGTATTCTTCCTGCAGGCCAGAAGAGGGCACCAGCTCTCATTACAGATGGTTGTAAACTACCATGTGGTTGCTGAGATTTGAACTTAGGACCTTTGGAAGAGGTTCAGCCAGAAGTTTCTTACTCCTAACATCATGGGCCATATCTAACACAGCACTGATAATCTGTGGGAAGCAGATGCAGGTGTATTTGTGAGTTCAAGATCAGCCTGGTCTACAAGAGCTAGTTCCAGGACAGCTAGGACTGTTACACAGAGAAACCCTGTCTTGAAAACAAAACAACAGGGGGCTGGAGAGATGGCTCAGTGGTTAAGAGCACTGTCTGCTCTTCCAGAGGTCCTGAGTTCAATTCCCAGCAACCACATGGTGGTTCACAACCATCTGTAATGAGATCTGGCGCCCTCCTCTGGTGTGTGGACATACATGGAGGCAGAATGTTGTATACATAATAAATAAATCTTTAAAAAAAAAAAAAAAAAAAAAAAAAAAAAAAAAAAAAAGAAAACAAAACAACAAAACCAAAAAAAAAGGCAACACATCTTTGCATCATTAAACATTTCACAGCATAAACAAATGTACATCTTGAACTATTATTCCACAATACATAATAGATCCAGAGGAGGATGTCATTGGCTATATATTATGCAGAACTCTGAAGGCCTTACTCAGTAAAGATGAGCTGGAGAAGAACCGAAGGAGCAAAGAGAAAAGGCTTATATGCAAATAAACCTCTAAAATGGCCCACAGTGAAGACTCCCAGCATTCTGAAAGTCTTAGGACTTGAGGATTTAGCAGGCAGATAGATCCAGAAATAGCTCACCTAATAAATGACCACACAATGACTACAATTCTTTTATTTTTTTTATTTATCATTTTGGAAAAAGAAAACTAGGGGAAAATCAGACAAGTCAGCAATCCATGATGTCAGAGGAGTAAAATCCCCAGCTAGGAGGGAAATTCCTCAGCTTCCTCTTATCAACATGAACGAAAGGATCTCTGCCCTCATGAACAGGTCCTCTCTTAAGAACTGACCAAACTGGGGAGAGCAACCAATTCAAGTGTGAAGGCTGCAGGCCCAAACGCAGCCCCTGCTTCCTACAGTGTCCCTTCATCTCAGGGAGCCTGGAGCGGGGCTCCAAGGGCAAAGCAGCAACAGACGTCTACAAACACTGTGTGGTGACAGTGGCACAGAGGATTTAGAGTCACAGCTCTGCATGATGGACCTCTGCCTTCAACAATTCACTGGGCTTCATGAAGATGCCTTCCATGGCCTTCCAGTAGTTGTTCTGACTTGGCTGGGCCATACCATGTACCTCCTTTTGCCCACTTATGGGTCGGCCATATTGTTCTCCCGTGACAGACAGGAGAACTTCGGTGGAAGAATGTTTGAATCTCACTTCACCGTCTCTCACCCAGTAAGGTCCGTTACAGAGCACTGTCCAGTCATCCAGATAGTCACCTTCACCTTCCTCGCCAAAGGCACTCACTTCCTGAAAGACAGAAAGTGGTAACATTAACACATCTGACAGGCAGCTCTGGAGAGCACACCCACAGCCCTAACATTGAGGAAGTAGAGATAGCAAGGTCAGGAGTTCAAGATGATCCAGCTACATAAGCAATTTAAGGCTAGCCTAGGTTATAAGAGACTATACCCTGTTGCCAAGTAAATAAGCTGCGATCTTTCTCAAGGCTTTCACCATGAGGAAAATGTTAGATTTCAAAGGTGGGGCATGACTCAATAAGAAAAAAAAATAAAATTAAAAAAAATAAGTCGGGGCTGGAGAGATGGCTCAGAGGTTAAGAGCATTGCCTGCTCTTCCAAAGGTCCTGAGTTCAATTCCCAGCAACCACATGGTGGCTCACAACCATCTGTAATGGGATCTTGTGCCCTCTTCTGGCCTGCAGGCATACACATAGACAGAATATTGTATACATAATGAATAAATAAATATTAAAAAAAAAAAAAGTCCTTTTTTCCCCGACATCTTAGGGAGGCTGCAGTGGTTGTCGCCACTCTCTGAACTTCATCATGCCGCCCAAGGATGACAAGAAGAAGAAAGATGCCGGAAAGTCGGCCAAAAAAGACAAAGACCCAGTAAATAAGTCCGGTGGCAAGGCCAAAAAGAAGAAGTGGTCCAAAGGCAAAGTTCGGGACAAGCTCAACAATCTAGTCCTCTTTGACAAGGCTACATACGACAAACTCTGTAAAGAAGTTCCCAACTATAAACTTATTACTCTAGCCGTGGTCTCTGAGAGACTGAAGATTCGTGGTTCCTTGGCCAGGGCAGCTCTTCAGGAGCTCCTAAGTAAAGGGCTTATCAAGCTGGTTTCAAAGCACAGAGCCCAAGTAATTTACACCAGAAACACAAAGGGTGGAGATGCCCCAGCTGCTGATGAAGATGTATGAACAGATTCAATCAGCTGTACATTTGGAAAAATAAAACTTTATTAAATCAAAAAATAAATAAATAAAAATAAAAATAAGCCAGGCAGTAGCAATACATGCTTTTAATCCCAGCATGCGGGAGGCAGAGGCAGGCAGATCTCTGTGAGTTTGAAGCCAACCTGGTCTACAAGAGCTAGTTCTAGCATAGGCTCCAAAGCCACAGAGAAACCCCGTCTCCAAAAACCAAAATAATAATAATAAAAAATTACAATAAAAAACCTGAAAACAAACTGTGACTGTTGTTGAACAAATTTGGATTTTCTTTTTTGTTGCTGTTTGACTTTGTTTGTTTTTTGTTTGTTTGTTTTTGATACAGGGTTTCTCTGTGTAGCCCTGGCTGAACTGGAACTCACTCTGTGGTCTAGGTTAGTCTCAAACTCAAATTATCCTGCCTCTGCCTCCCAAGTGTTGGGATTAAAGGTATGCATCACCATATCTAGTCTGTTGAACAAATTTTTAAAATAAAAGTGTAGCACATTTGCTTCATTAAGTTACAGGGGGAAACTAGGGTAGATGGTCTACAAATGCAAAGTGAGGTCCCAGAGAAACCAGCCAATGAACACTCTGATACCAAACTTTGGCCTCCTCCCAGACAGTGAATAAATCCTGTTGAGTTAAAAAGGAAAGTCAAAAGAAGGGCCAGAGAGATGGCTTGGTAGGGAGGGTACTCATTGCTTAAGTTGTCTCTGGGATCCACATAGTAGAAGGAGAAAACCAACTCCTCCTGCAAGTTGTCCTCTAACCTCAGCAGGCTTGCACCTGTGCTCGCGCACACACAGCATACACACCAACTTCAATAAAAAATACCTGTGTTTGGAGTAAGGGGTCAGAGGATCAATGGAGTCACTGAGGAGGGCCTGAAAGCACGAGATTTCAAAAAGCAGCATAGAAATGGAGCTTGAGAGATGGCTTGGTGGTATCTTTTTCTTTTTTTATGTATAAGTGCTCTGTCTGCATGTGTGCCTGCAGGCCAGAAGAGGGCACCAGATTCCATTATAGATGGTTGTAAGCTGTCATGTGGGTGCTGGGAATTGAACTCAGGATCTCTGAAGAGCAGCCAGTGCTCTAACCTCTGAGCCATCTCTCCAGCCCTGCAAGACCCTTTATTATAAATTTGGAAACAATAGCTTTATTGTAATATTCATCAAAACTTAATGGTATGCTAATGTATACCTTTCCTCCCTATTCCGTGCTTTGGTCTAGATGTAAAGTCTCCACTCTGACCAGAAACAATTTTCTTCACACTTATGAGACAGAGTCATTTCTCCAAGTCTGCAGAAAAGAGAACATCTATACCTAGACAGCAAAGGGTTAATGTGCTCATTTAAGCAGCACAGATACTAAAATTGGAATGATACAGAGATCAGCATGGCCCCTGTTCAAGGAGGACACACAAGTTTGTGAAATGTCTCATATTTAGGAAGGAGGGAAGGAAGAAAGTAAGAAAAGAAAGAAGGAGCCGGGCGGTGGTGGTGCACGCCTTTAATCCCAGCACTCGGGAGGCAGAGGCAGGCGGATCTCTGTGAATTCGAGGCCAGCCTGGTCTACAAAAGCTAGTTCCAGGACAGGAACCAAAAGCTACGGAGAAACCTTGTCTCGAAAAATCAAAAAAAAAAAAAAAAAAAAAGAAGGAGTTAAGAACCAAGAGATCAAACAAGTCAACTGGGCAAGACAGAGCAGATGTGATGGCTATTCTTGGTTGTCAATTTGAATATAAGTGGAATGAACTATAATCCAGAAATGGATGGCACACCTGTGATCCGGATCTTGAGGCAAGAAGACAACAAGCCTTTAATCCAGACCTTGAGGCTGGAAGGCACACCTTTAATCTGGACTACCTCTTCTGCAGAAAACACATATAAGGGCAATGGAAAAAAGAAGGGTTTGTTCATCATCTGCTTGCCCTTGCTCCGTCAAGACATCCATTCCTTCTTTGGGATCCCAGAAGACCAGCTGAGACAGCCAACCTCATGGGACTGAGCAGCCACTAGATTCTTGGACTTCCCATCCATAACTAGCTATTGTTGGACTGCAGCGTGTAAGTCACTCCAATAAATTCCCATAGACAGACAGACTGACAGACAGATATTCATTCCATAAGTTCTGTGACTCTAGAGAACCCTGACATATACAGCAGGAATAATCCATTGCATGCCCCTCACCTGGTTTCCAGAAAGAGGTGACGTGAAATGGTGGCTGTGGAGGTTTCGACCAGTGTTGATGTGTGTCAGTCGGATGGGCTGGCCACATTTGATGGGGGTTCCCCTTTCACACACTGTGGCTGTCTTCCCCCGTATTCTCCAATAACTATTGCTGTCATCCACAGAGGTTACACCTGTCACTGATTGCTGCCCACTACCTGCAAGCAAACAAACAAAAGGCAGAGAAGAAAGGCAGTTGGAGAGATGCCTGATACCTGGTTCTGAAGAGCCATTTTCAACGCAGTGGGAGACAGCAAGGACCCATCCATTGTTAGGTAAAGATTCTACCAAGGTTGCATTCATTTTTTCAAAAAATAAATTTTTATTTTTATTTTATGTTTATTGGTGTTTTGCCTGTGTGTATGTCTGTATGAGGCTGTCGGGTCCCCTGGAACTGGAGTCACAGACAGTTGTAGCTGCCATGTGGGTGCTGGGAATTGAACCCGGGTCCCCTGGAAGAACAGTCAGTGCTCTTAACCACTGAGCCATCTCTTCAGTCCACCTGCATTATTTTTAAGAAAACCTACATCATACCTTCAGTTATATCCTCCCTAGATACTAAGGATATTGAAATTTCACTCTTAAAACACTGGCTATTGTGGAACAGCAGCCAGGATGGTAGGGAAGAAGGTCATGCTGCACTGGTTGACTACAGAATGAGACCTGTCCTGTGAGAAGGTCGTTTGTCAAATCTTCACTGCCTCTGTAAGGCCTTGGACAAGCATATGAATTTGATCCTCTGAGACTGTTATGAGTTCAGCAAAATCAAGAGACAGGATGCTAAATAGCCAGAGTATAAAGAAAAACAGGTTCTAGGTCTGCTGTTGTGTTCGGAAAGCTTGGTATCCACCATTATGAAAAGGCTACTCTCTAAAAATACTGACACTGCTTGGAACCCACTTGTCCTCCTATTGGAGGTCTTGGGGTTGGGAGGACAGTTATTCATTTTACTTTTGTGAATTTTGCCTGCCTGTATGTCTGTCTGTGCATGCTTATGCCCACAGAGGTCAGAAGAGGGAGCCAGATAGCCTGGGACTAGAGTTAAGTTAACCTTGTGGATGCAAGGAATTGAACCTGGATTCTTTGTAAGAACAAGTACTCTTAACCACTGAGCCATCTCTCCAGCACTGTTCGCTACATTTTAATCGTCTCTTTAATTTTTCACTTTTTTTTTCAACTCGACTTCCTCTGGAGACCTCCTTATTCTTTGGGAGTAGCTAGAATTCTATCTGGCCTTAATCTGTTCCTAAACACTTAGGGGTCCAGATAAAGTAATTCAAGTAACATTTACTGTAACTGTAATTTTTCAGATTGAGCTCATCCTGAGCAATTTGATCTATTCATGTAGCTTCAATCACTATCTGGACAAGAATGTTGTATCTAGGCAGTAAAACGGCTCAGCTGATAAAGACTGACAATCTGAATTCAATCCCTAAGACTCACAAGATAGAAGGAGAGAACAATGCTTTTCTCTGCTTTCTACATTTGCACTGTGGCAAGCATGCATCCAAACACACACACACACACACACACACACACACACACACACACACTGGAGAAATGTAATTTAAAAATAAAGCCTTTAATCTCAGCACTCAGGAGGCAGAGGCAGGTGCTGTGTGTTTGAGGACAGTCTGGTCTACATATTGAGTTCCTGGTAGCAGGGCAACCAGAGCTAGATAGACACTGTCTCAAAAAACAATGAAGCTTTTACAGAATATTGTACCTAACTCTGCATCAGATTCCTCTAAGGTTCACACTGAGCATGGTGTCAAAATCTGACGACCCATAAGGACCACCGGGAGAGATTTGAAGTCTACTAGGCCTCTTTCTAACTCCATTTTAATTTAGTAGATTCAAAACAGGAAACAGATTAAATTAAAATGTAATACGCCTGGCGTATAGGTAGGTGTTTCCTGAATCAAGTGGCTAGGAATATAAAGATATCCCAATGATGACTGTGCACTCCCGGCACTAAACTGGTCAGACAGGTTCTTAGAGGTGGGAACCACAGACCAACCCAAAAGGGTGAGTTCCTCTCTTAGCAAACACCATCCACCATCATCAGTCATTCAGATTACCTTGAATACATCTCACGTTAAATCTCATGACTTTTTTTTGTTGTTGTTTTTTGTTTTTGGAGACAGGGTTTCTCTGTAGCTTTTGGAGCCTGTACTGCAACTAGCTCTTGTAGACAAGTCTGGTCTCTAACTCACAGAGATCCACCTGCCTCTGCCTCCAGAGTGCTGGGATTAAAAGCATGCGCCACCACCGCCCAGCCGAATCTCATGACTTTTATCCTCCTCTCCCACCAAGAACCTAGAGTCTTTAGAATGCTTGGCAAATAATCTAACATTAAGCTATTTAGCCAGCTTTTGAGCTTTTTTTTAAAAAGATGTATTTATCACATATACCTGTATATGTGCCTGCGTGCCAGAAGAGGGCACCAAATCTCATTATGGATGGTTGTAAGCCACCATGTGATCCAGGGAATTGAAAAGGAATCAGTGTTATTAACTCTCCATCGCTCCAGTCCCTGTTTTTGAACTTCTTTTGTGTTGTTTTGAGATAGCTCTCCCTATGTAATCCAGGCTGATCTTTAAGTCACAATGCTTCCACTTGAGCCTTCTGAGTGCTAGGATAACAGATATCGGCCACCACACCTGCCATTAGAACAATACTAGACACACAAGAAAGAAAGAAAGAAAGAAAGAAAGAAAGAAAGAAAGAAAGAAAGAAAGAAACAGAGAGAGAGAGAGAGAGAGAGAGAGAGAGAGAGAGAAGGAGAGGGAGAGAGAAGAAAAAGACTCTTTAGGGGCTGGAGAGATGGCTCAGAAGTAAAGAGCACTGACTGCTCTTCCAGAAACCTTGAGTTCAACTGCCAGCAACCACAGGGTGACTCACAACCATCTATATGAGGTCTGGTGCCCTTTTCTGGCCTGCAGGCATACATGCAGGAAAAAAACGCTGTATACGTAATAAATAAATAAATCTTAAAAAAATATAAATAAATCTATACTGAATGAATGAATCCACGAATACTTAGCATGAATTGCATATGATAAAAAGCAGACTTTCCTTTGCAATCCCTGTCAAAGCTTAAGTTATTGAGCTAAAAAACAAGTATAAGACCAAGGGTTGTAATCAAAGAGCGAGCTCTTTCAAGTCTAAAACTCAGAGATTCAAGATATGTTGTCAGGGGCTGGAGAGATGGCTCAGCGGTTAAGAGCATTGCCTGCTCTTCCAAAGGTCCTGAGTTCAATTCCCAGCAACCACATGGTGGCTCACAACCATCTGTAATGAGGTCTGGTGCCCTCTCCTGGCTTGCAGGGATACTCACAGACAGAACATTGTATACATAATAAATAAACAAAGTTAATATTTCTAAAAAAAAAAAAAAAAGATATGTTGTCAGGCTCTACAGGCTCTATATGTCTCTCTTCTCCCAGCACAAAATAGTGGCAGCCCATGGATGCTGAAAGATTTTAAACCTGGGCAGATTGGATTAAACCCTGTACCCACCATTCACTAGCTGTAAGGCTTTGAGCAGTACCGAGTCTATTTTTTCACCTACGAAAGTAACTTTACTGTCGTTCTCAACACATTATTAGAAATTGACAGGTATACATGTGACACATTTAACATATAACTCATCAAACAAAAACTAACATTACGACTAAATTCCCTTAGCAACTCGATCGTCCTCGCCAAGCAGCTCCCTAGGGCACCTTTAACTTTCCAAGACCACGCCCAGAGGCCCCGCCTCTTCGGGGGCTCCCCGGGCCTAGGCAGCCCACCCAACCCCGGTTGGTTCCCCTCAGTACCTGATCCATAGCGCACGTCGTGAGAGTGCAGTCGGACATTATGGCGCGTATTGAGTAGCTTCACCACGGAGCCGCAAGTAACGACAGCCATATCGGACGCTCCCACAGCGCTCCATAAACCACCCAACAACAGAAGCGACAAGACAGCCATCCTAGATCCGAGAGCCCCTAACCATCCAAGAAAATTTAGCCCTTCCCCGGAACCGGAAGTTAAGGGTGGAACAACGACAAGGAGGAAGTGAAGCCACTCTAACCTGAATCTTTATGGTTCCTCTGTCTCGAGCGGATGGGTGACCTGGGAATCTGCTTTGTTCTGGTTGCTCTGTGGCGGCTGCGTTCGTGCGGTTAGCGTTCGCACGCTCGAGACGAGAGCGCTAGCCACCGGACGGGAAAAGAGAGCACGAAATGGCCCGCCCACCCCCAGTGACAGAGAGCCGGAGGTGACGTAGCACGTTTACGTAGCAGCGGCGACGGCGGTGGTGGTGGTAGTGGTGGCGGCAGCGGACGCGGAGGGCCCTTGCGGTGGGTCCGTACTATCGTTTGCCAGTCTCGGTTCGGCGACCCCATTTTCTTCCGTGGGAGCCTAAAGCAGCGGAGAAACAGCGGCCCTTAAGCAGGTAAAGCTCAGCCGGGAGAGCGTTTCTGGTGTGCGCAGCGAGCCGGGCTCCCAGGGCCTAGCCCGGTAAGGGAAGAGGCATTGGGGTGCCCTGGCCTTTCCTGATCTGCCGGAGCAAAGGGACAGGAAAGCGCAGTGGTTGCTCAGCGTCTCCAGGCCTTTCCCCCACGCAGTACCACCTGGAACCTGTGAACTGGCGTTGTTTGTTGAGTCAACAGACTTTCTGGGATCACATCTTCCCCGCAGCTTCTGGAATCTGGGCCACACGAAAAATTGGGACTAGGAGAGACCTAAGGGTTTCTTACTTGGCATCAGGTGATCAGATTAGTTATTCCGTGCGTTTGGATCCTACCGGACTTAAGATGGTTCAGCCATGAGGCTGGTGTACTGTGCTGAATGTTAGATCTTCTCATATTGTTGAATAATTGAACTTTTTCCCCTTGGATGGCTGATTCCCTTAACACTTTCGAAAGATGCGAGTTTGTATATAAGTGCCTGAAACCCTCCATCCTGCGTAATTCATTTCCTCGAATGCTTGCGACCTACCGTAAATATCAGAATGGGTTGTTGAATCCGAAATCTGTATTCTTGATTGACATCAGGTACTCAATTTAAATATCTAAGAAAAGCTGTTTCCCTGTGTTACGGAAAGAATTGATGCTTATTTTCTTTTAGGAGGCAGATCTCCTATAATACCGATACGGAAAGTCACTGTAGTATCAAAAGTAGTGGGGTACTTTTTTCCATTTTCCTCTACACACCCCATTTCTGATGATTCCCTTCTTCACAATCCCCCGTTACTTTCATTTATTTTTCTGTGTATGTGTGTGGTTCAATAGTTAATTTAAGGTTACTTACAGGAATGTGAGGGATTATTCAGAGAAACCTCGGCTACAACACTAAAGAAAATGTGCTTCTCCCCCAGCAACCATGAATTGCTCTAGATCCTTAGGATTGGTGGCATCACGTGAGCCCCTCCCCCCTCCCCCCCCCCCCCAGCTACCGTTAACTGCCTACAAATTTTCAGGCCCCTCCCCAACAAGGGAGTATTATGCTACACTGTGCAGAAGGTGCTGCGTTAAATTAATTTTTCGGGGAAAAAGTTTATTCCACCGTTGAACACTGAAGTTGACAGTTTGTAAGTCTTCGGTCTTTTAATTGCCTCCTGAGTGCTGGGATTAAAGGGCGTGTATCACCGCCACCCATCTAGTATTTTTTTAATTCTTGTAGTTTTATAGTTTTCTGCTTATACTAGTTTAACTTTCTTACCTCTCATTGACGCTTTAGTCAATAGCAACCCGACTGACTTCTCTTCTAACTGCTCATCAAAATTGATAGCTTCAACAGTGGCTACAATGTTGCCAAATCCAATGGCTACTCTTAGTCAATACAGTTACTCCTTGAAGCTTTGTCCCCTTAGTTGTTGTATTATACTTGGCTCTTGAATTTTTCTCTCTTAAGCTAGCTGCTCCTTTTTAGTCTTTAAAATACCGCTTTAATCCCAGCACTCTGGAGGCAGAGGCAGGCAGATCTCTGTATGAGTTCGAGGCCAGCATGGTCTACAAGAACTAGTTCCAGGACAGGCTCCAAAACTACAGAGAAACCCTGTCTCGAAAAACAAACAAACAAACAACAACAAAAAAAAAAGAAGAAAAGAAACAACTTCATTGTATTTTTATGTGGTATTTTGTGTGCATGGTTGTGAAGTAGGTGCTTTCTTGGTTGAGTCATCTCCTTCCCTGGCCTTTTTGGGGGAGGATTTATTTTTATCAATGTTTTCCCAGCTTGGACTGCCTTACTTCTCCTTAGGCATAGTGGTGGTTCCTCACTCCCCACAGGTTAAAGGTAAAAGTGTAATCATAGTGATACTGATGCTAATCCGTATAGCATGCTCCTGCCCAGAACTCCTGGAGCCAAGCAGTCGTCTTTCCTTAACTCTCAAGAAGCTGGTCCAGACTGTAAGGCTGTAGGCATCCACCAACTGGACCTGATGTGATTTTGCAGGGTTTTTGGGTTGTTTGTTTGCTTTTTGCTTTGTGGGTTTTGTTTTTGAGTCAGAGTCTTGCTGTGTAGTCTAAATGGCTCAAACTCTTTGAGCCTCTTGTTTCAGCTTACTAGATGCTTCATTCTTGTTTACTTTTCTGCTCTCCCTAATATCTAAATGTTTGTTGGGTTTCTCTCAGGGTTTAATTTTGAGTCCTCTATGTGTTCAGATACCCTCCCTGTGCTGTTTTCTAGGCCACCATCATCTTTTGCCTGGGCTATGATAGTTCCCTGGTTTCCTGTTTCTACTCAAATTCCCCTACAGTCTTTGAAGCCTTTAACTTACCCTATAAAGATCCTGTGTCTTCATGTGAAACCCTCTTCCTCTCCCTGGTCAAACTGACTTTCTCTGCTGCTGCCCCCATTCGTGCTCTACAGAAGCTTCTGCACCAGAGTCTCCTCCAACCACCTCCCCACGCAGTCAGTTTCTACACTTTATTCCTCACTCTTTGGGTATTTATAAAGTTTATTTCTTTTTATTTTAAGGATGTTTCTATTATTTTATTTATTTTTTTAAGACAGGGTGTCTCTGTGTAATAGCCCTAGCTGTCTAGGAAATCACTCTGTACACCAGGTTGGCCTTGAACTCACAGAGATCTGCCTGCCTCTCCCAAGTGCTGGGATCACACGCAGCTACCACCACCCATCTATTCTAAGATCTTAAAGATTTATTTAACTTATTAGAAAGAATGAGAATGTGTGTGTTAATTCTTGTATCAGTGTGAGTAGATCTAGGATAGCTTTGTGGATTCAGTTCCTTTATTCCTCTAGTTTTTTAGTTTTTACTTCTTTACGTTAGTTTTGGAATCTAATTCAGGTCATGGGCTTGCATGGCAGGCACTTTTGCCTGCTGAACTATATAACCAGCCCCCAGCCTATATTTTAAACATCTTAATTTCTTATAATTAGATTGTGTGTGTGTGGTTTTTCGAGACAGGGTGTCTCTGTAGCTTTGGAGCCTGTCCTGGCACTAGCTCTATCTAGTAGACCAGGCTGGCCTCGAACTCACAGAGATCCGGCTGCCTCTGCCTTCTGGGTGCTGGGATTAAAGGCGTTCGCCACCACCGCCCGGCCAGACCATGTTCTTATGTCCTCACTTGGAGTCCCTTTTTATGAAGTACTCTGTGGCTTCTTTCACCATATTGTTCTCATCACTAATTACAGGATTTTGTTTCATTTCTCTTTTCTGGTTTCAGATATTTAACCAGAGCCTTGTGCATGGTAAGGAAAGGTTCTGTCCACCATTGAGATATACCCACCCTCATTCATGTTTTGTCATAACATAATTTATGAAAATTATGAACTCTACCCAGGAAGAAGCATATTTTATTCTGTTTTACCTACCAAGACCCAGAACAGAGCTTGACCCTAAACAGACAGAATCTAAATGTTAATTGGAGCTTCAGAACAAAAGGAGTTAATAAGCCAGATCTCTCCAGCCAGGTCTCCTCTTAATTGCCTCCTACAAGGTCTTGTTAGAAAGGAGGAATTGCCAAGGGCCTCTCCTGTGGCCATCTGATCCCAGCCCTGTTCCTCTTCCTGAGAATGCCATGGTAACCACTACCCTCTCCCTCTGAGTCACATCTTACTCGGCAGCTGGCTTTTGCCTGGAGAGCCCCCCCTCCACCACTCTACTCCTCTTCAAGGCCTATTCCAGGTGCAAATTTAACTATAGTCTTGAATGTGGGGAAAATTTGAGGAATGTGAGTACTAAATGCAAAAATCAAAACTACAGTCAGCTTATCTTATTAAAACATGTATTAATGATGTTGATATACACAAGTGTTATATCTTTATTCTGGAGTCGCTGTTGCTTGGCATCTTCAGCCTGCAGTGCTGATATAGTACTGTTCAAAATCTAGCTGTAGAAAGTCATGACTGCTTCTGGCAAACCTTTTAACTGGAAGGCTTATTGCTGAGCTAGATTAGGAACATTAGAGTGTGTTTTATCTCTAACCTAGCTTGGGAGTTGGGAGGGAAAGGAGACAGTTGTCTTCCCAAGCTGATTGTAAGGGGACCAAGAATAAGCTGTTATCTCAGGTGGGTTGTCTATTTCTCTCTGTTAAGTAGAACAGGGACATCTGTCTGTAAGAGCTAGCTTGAAGATGTTGATCCTTTAAAAGACTGAATTCATGGTATAATGACCTAATTAAAGTAAACTGTGTGCAGTTTACTATTTTTAATGTCTCAGTTCAAGGCTTGGGGGGGAGCAATGTTAAAATTATCAGGCATAATGGCTCTTTCTTTTAATCACAGCACTCAGGAAACTGAGGTAGGAAGATTGTTGTGAGTCCTAAGAGTTAACTTTCAGGTCACACAGCCTAGAGTAAAGTCCTGCCTCAAAACACCAAGTATAGGAGTGGTGTTCTAACTCTCTCTTGCTTCTGTCCAGGTTGTTTTTCTTTTTCTTGAAATGTGGTCTCACTGTGTTGTCCTGCCCTGGAACTCTGTATATAAACCAGGGTGTCCTCTACCTTCTACATACTGGACTTAAAGGCATGAGCCACTACATCTAGCCTAGAACTACAAATTTAATTGGCAGAAT